GGACCTTGCCCTTGGCCTTGTGGATTCCTCAACACACCTCATTTGAAATGATGGAGAATCCCTATAAAGTCTCATCCTGATGCTAGCATCCTCCTTCCAAGCTGCCCTTCCCTAAAGACTGATTTTCGGATGGAAAAACGTGGCACGTTCCCGAGTTGTATCAGCCAGTGTAAGACAGCTCTCTCCCACATGAGTTAGGAGGTCGTGACAAAGACTACGGGGGAAGCACTGGGGTTTTGTATCAGTTATCACAAATTAGTCAGCATCAGTTAGGATTGCCCTCCTCACCCTCATTAGTGAAGGCAAAGGCAAGATTGAGAGGAGGCAGGAAGCTCAGCTGAGCCTGTCTTCGAGGTGCTGGTGCCACGTCCCTCCTCTTCGCAGGCTGCAGCACTCTGAATTCATACATCTAAAAATCACACCCTGTCTGCCAGTGCTCGGCTTATTGTTGTTATATGTGTCCCCTCTGGTCACTGCAGCTGGATGATATTTTCCTCTCCTTTCTCTCCGCGTTTCCACTCTGTCTTTGACAGGCTTTTTCACGCAGTCGCTTTCATTATTTCTCTTGTGCAGTCTGTTTCATACTGTGGAGTTCGGAGGGGGAAGACGAACCCCGCTGTTGAAACGGGCCTGTACAGACTGTACAGTGCAGGGATCTTTGCCGTGTGTGTGCTGGACAAACAACTGCGTGCGAGTCACTTACCTGACAGAGGGATTCAGTGCTAGACCTGGAGAAGCCTCGTCATCACTATTCCCATGCCCCAGAGGGTTTTAATAGATTGCATTTAAATTTATAATCTTGTGGGGTGTTAGAATAGCCACACGAAGTGGACAAACTGGTAAATTTTACTGTATAATGTGTTTCCACAAACCATCTATGAACCATTTACTGTAGCTTTGGTTTAAATTGCATTGCACAGAGTCCTGGGCAGCGTCTGCCTGATGCTCTCTTCGGCGCATTCTGTCGAACAGCTCCTTCCACGGCCCTGGTCCCCAGTCCCTGTTTAACTGCTCTTCCCTTGCTCTCTCTCACCAGAGGACCAGTTACCTCCTGGCTTCCCAAACATTGATATGGGGCCCCAGCTGAAGGTGGTGGAGCGGACACGAACAGCCACGATGCTCTGTGCGGCCAGTGGGAACCCAGACCCAGAGATCACTTGGTTTAAAGATTTCCTGCCTGTCGACCCCAGCTCAAGCAATGGGAGAATAAAACAACTGAGATCAGGTAAGGTCTCTGCGTGAGATTGGAGGAATTGAGACCTAGACAGAGGCGTGAAGAGACCGCTCAGGTTTCTGAAGTAGAAGAGAGGGCTGACAAGACACGGGCACCACTGGTGTGGATTGGGGCATTAGCTTTTCTTTGGTTTTGGGACTCATGTTCTTACTCAAGGAGTGGTTGGAGTATTTTCCCCTCCAACCCCTCCTCCTGGCCTTCCCTACTGCCTGGGTGACATAAAGAGAGTCACAGCAGGGAAGCTGATTCCCATCCAGGAGATGCAGTAATTAGATAATGGTGCTCTTCCAGCTCAAGGGGGACTGGGGACTGGATGGGAGCTGAGGGTTTCTTCCTCAGACCAGGAACAGGGTAAGGAAGAAAGAAAACCACTACAGCAGACATGGCACTTCAGGCCACATGCATCTGGTTGAGGGTCCACAGCTCAGATAGCCTCTGACTGTCAAAACATGATGCTGTTGGTGCAGACTGACAGAGCTGGCACTGAGGAACAGCTCTTGCAGGATCTCTGCGGCATCAAGTCCCTGCAGTCATCGCTGGAGAGCAGTTGTGAGCGTTCTGGAGTGACTCCTTGGTGCTCAGTGGCACTGCCCGTGGAGCGGCTCTCCATGAACAGATGTACCCCAGCTCCGTGGCTCCTGTCAGTTTTCCGTCTTACCCCATCTGCTTGTCCATCTGTCTCTCATGTTTGTTTTATGTTTGTTGTTTGTGTGTGTGTCAACCTGACATCTCTTAATATTCACATCTCAGGAGCTGTTTTTATACTTGTTAAATCTGCCACTTCCCTGTGTGAGTGTGCATGCAAGGAGGGCACAGGTATATTTATTTTGAATACTACTGATAAAGCACTTCCATTGCTCAGCTTAAAACACACCTTAATTTCTCTCTGAGAACTGCAAATATGAAACAAGCTTTGGAAGTTTTACCTTTTGACAAAAACTAACCCGGGAAATATTTTCAAGTAACTGCTTGGACTGACTGCTTTGACCCAGCCTAGAGAAAACGTGTCTGTGTGGTTGGACCTAGCAAGCACTCGCATCACTTCAGCCACTCTGAACATTCCTTTGGCCAAGAGAGGTGGAGCATTTTCCAGCGTGTGTTGGCAAGAGAATGGCATTGTTGTAGGCAGAGGGAAAGCAGAGGCTTCAGTGAAGCAACTGGGGCTGCTCCATTCGTGTTAGACATTTTACAAGTCAGCCAGTCAAGCCCCAGCCGACCGCTGCCCAGACCCCCTGGCTCTGAAGAAGCCCGTTCTGACTCTAATGCTGGGTCTGAACGTCAGGGAATGGAACCGCCTGGTTTTTTTCTGACCTTTTTTGGCAAAGGTTCCATGTGAAGATTTTTACTGTGGGCCACCAGTGGAAAAGATTGAGCGTAGTTCCAGTTCATGGTAGCTATGACACACCTGCATAAATGCCTCCTTACTCAGTGAAGCAAACTTACAAGCAGATACTTAAACTGCTTTGTTGAATTAGAATGGATTGTTGAATCCTGCAAACACAGATGAGATTGACCTCCCTGTTTTATCATAACAGCTGAGGCAAATGCAAATAAAAAAAATCACTCAGCATAAATAATGAGAGGTAAACTAGAATTATATCATGCTCTGTGACCGTGATCTGAAGTGTGAGTAATGCACAGGCAGATTATTTTTAATACACTTATCATCTTGCTAGAATGCCTTTATACTCTTTAACTGGGTTTGATCTGGTGTTTTCCTTAAAGCCACCCGAGTGCTGCGTTTTTATGCCAGTGAATTGGTTAGCCTCAGAGTGAACTCTTGGCCTTTCTGGTAAATGAGAGGATACCTGCTGAGAATTCATCTCATTTACAGATGCTTTGAATTGGTAAACTGGTGAAACCCTGAAGCATCCCTGTTGTCCTCAGAGGCAGAAACCTGTTGCTGGTGTGAAAGGGAGTGCAGATTCCTGGACAGTCAGGATTTCGGAGTTCTCCTGTTTCATCTGCTTTTATGGCCTTTCAAAACTTGCACGTTCTGTGATGCAAAGGCTTGTGAAAGTGCAAAACTTATTAACATTAGGGTCACCTGCACTGTGTTAGTAATTTAGTCAGTGGGAAGGAGTTTGTTTTAAGACCCAGGCAGAGCAGATTGATGTGTGTATTTGTAACCTGAGTGTGATGTGCGAGGTGATGCCTGTTTGAGCTCCGATGGGATGAGTGCTGCTAAAGTCAGAGCTTAATTTAATACATTTATCTTTCCAGAAAACAAACTTTGCTGCCAGAAGTGTGGCACTAGCACACATTAGGGCATTGGATGCTTCAGGACACTGCTAATGAGCCTCAGTGTCTCTCACCCACAGTCACCAGTGTGACTCCAGCCCGGCTTCTTGGGGATTAACAGTCACCCCCAGCTAAGGGGTGTTTGACAAGCCCCCTGTGAATAGGAGTGCAGGGAGGAGGAGTGACCTTGGGACTAAATCACGACTTCATTGCGGCACTTGGCGCAAACAGGCTTAGCAGAGCAGCGGGTGACGGGTGTCTCTGGAGACTTGGCTGTGCGGTGCTCCCCGATGGAGGCTGGGATGGGGCAGGCTGAGGGAGCAGCGGGACAGGACAGTCACCCGGGAGAAAGACATCAGGATAGCAGCCACGCTGCTTTATTGCTGAGGGTGCTAAGAACTGAATTTATATCAATGTATGAGTTAGTGGCAAACATGCAAATTAGCTCATTAAAAGGTACAAGTGAAATGTCATACACGGAGCTCTTCAAAATTGGGTAACCGTGTCCAGATTTGGTTCCCATTTATATTAAAAAACCTGAATGTTTGACTGGCAATATAAATGGACCTCGGAGACCGTGGTCATTATAGCACATCATCCTGTGGACCCGTTATTTTGCAGGTCTTCAGTATAATTGAGAAACAGGTGATATGTCATTAACCATCGAGGGTTCTCGCTATCCAGTATTTCTTTTTCTCCTTTGCACGTCGCGATAAACTTTCCAAGCGACTGGGAATGTTTTAACACTCGTGGGTTTTGACTGAATGAAAAGCTGAATTGTCAGTGAAAGGAGACTGGGAAGAACATCTATATAGGTGCCAGCTTCCCTCAGAGACCCAGGTTGTGGAAATTTAAGTGGTCTTGGTGGTGGAAGAGAAATTCCTGCCTAACCCCAGCGCAAGCAGTCTCATTTAAAGGAGAAGCCGGTGTCCTTGCTCAGCCGTGCCACCTAGGGGGGATAACGGCAGCAGCCTGCAGCCACCTTCTCACATCAGGGAAACACTAAAACCTCTTGTGTCTTGTGTGTTGTCTTCTGCTTTCTGAATAACTGGCTATAACAAACTTTTTTCTTTTTTTTTTCACCTTTTTTGGTAACATTCAGAGACCTTTGGTAAGTTTGTTCAATTAAAACAAACCCCACCAAACCAAAAAACCCCAAACCTGCTAATGTCCAGATCTGTAACCCTTGCCCTTTAAACTAATTCCTTTGTAACAGCTTCTTGAGAGGCATGCTATGCATTTCTTCTACTAACTCTTTCAGTAGGGGTATTCTGCCCTCTTAACGAATTTCTGCAGGGGTATTGCAGGCTACAAAAAGAATGATCATCATCCTAACTAATATATCTGTATAAAGACGTAACAGCTAAATATGAACCTCCTAACATTGGATAGATTTTTTTTGTAACTTAGCAACAGTTGTCCTGGAATTCCCCAATTACACAATAGCTTGTACCCTGGAACTGTGATAATTGTGTTCACACCTGCAGGAGGTCTTGGAGTTTCACATCTAACGGGGTTATTGGCATTTTCAGGAGGGAGAGGTGGGAGTGCGGCACTTTCAAATTGAAGCTGTAAATCACAGGTCATTGGCTATGGGAAGGGGTTGAGCAGAGGAAAGCACCCCCCCTCCAGGTCCTCTCCATCCCTTGGGAAGCCAGGAGCCTGTCTGCAGAGCTCACGTCACATTTCCTCCGTGTGCCAAGTCCCCTTTTGTTACTAGAGATGTCGCAATTGCAGCTGTCAGCCAGGATCCGGCATTTTAAAATTGCAGAAGACCCTTGATGATTTCTGGCTTGTTTGGAACAGAAAGCTCTCTCCAGCCCTCGGGAGAGGAGCACAGCACACACATGTTCTCACACGTGGCCTGACAGAAGGTGGGGATGTGTTTTCTGTCATTACCATGGCAATGGTGACTTTCCTTCTCTCCTTGTTTTCAAGGCTTAGAGAATCCGTAGGCGGCTTGCTGTGTGGGAAGTCAGAGGAAGGATGATGGAAGAGCAGATCCCATCCTCTGTCACAGGGGGGGACACCTGCACGTGCTATTTTGCCACCTTCTTGGCCCTTTATAATCCAGAGGCGTGTCCTTTAAGCTGCCTTTTGCCTCTGCTGCTAAACACTACGCTGGCCATCTGGGCTCCTGCAGCCTCAAAATTTGCCCTAAATAGGCAGATTTACAGATCCTGGGATGCCGTGGAAGGCAGTATGAATAATTTGCACGTGGCATCTCAAAACTAACTTTTCACTCAGAAAGTCAGCGTCCAGTGTGAGTTCTCCCTCCATCAGTTTTCCTGCAAAGCTGGTGCCCGTACTCTGCTCTACACAGCAGCCTCGTGCGTTGGCTCCTGCTCTGTCAGGGCACCAGGAAAGCCAGCTACTGCCTCCTCCCCCACTCCTTAGGAAATCTTACAGGACCTGCCAGAATTCCTCAGAGTAATTAATTTATTTCAAATCCTCTTCGAGCACCATCCTGCTGCCCCGATATTGAACATGGAGCTGGTTAGATGTGAAACTCCCAGTAGTGAAAATCTACCATCTGTGTCCCTGCGGCCAGTCAAACTGCTCTTCCCGTGTAAGTTCATGATCTCAGTTTGATTCAAATCCTGTCCCCTCCCTCCGTGCTCTGGGGCATCTTCCATAACATGTTGTGCTCCTCACCACTGGGTCCCGTGTGCCAGAGTTAGAACTGGAAAGGCTGAGGTGGCGTGGCTTGGCTGGTCTTGCTCCCCAAGAGCACTGTCTCCAAGACAGTCTGACTCCAAGAGCTGCTGACAACCTATTTCCAGGGGCAGCGCTGATGCTTAGAGGGAACAGGGAGTAACTAACCTACAATGACACGAGAAGGCAACGGCTGCTGTTGTATCTGTGCTTATATAGCTCTAACTTCCAGGGTGTTTTCCTGTCAATTAGAGTGAATCTTTGCAGGAAATTGCCAGGCTTAGCCAAGGGCAAAGAAGCCGTATAGCAGTGGGGGCTGTTGGGGTCTCTTCCCCTCTTCCCATTAGCCGTGTTCCAGATTTGTGCCACAGATGGCAGATTTTCACTCCACTTTTGAGACAGAAGGATGTATCAGAGGCTGTTTTTATTTCCACTGAATTGAACTATAACCCTTTGCTGCTTAGTCTCTCTCGCTCGCTTTTTAAAACCTTCCTGCCGTCTCCTGTGTGGAGATCTGCCCAAGTACACGCTCCCCCCACCTCTTTCTCTTTCAAGCGCTGTCTCTCCAACCTTTCTCCTGGTAGCTAACCAGCCTGCTTTATTAACCTTAGCGAGTTCCTAACCCTAACTAGATGCTAACTTTTCTCCAGCAAATAACCTAACCTCTTAACTAGAAGCTGAGTATAACTAGAACCTAATACCCTAACACTGTAATACCTCTCTCCCCTCATCTCCTTTGAAAAATAAAGGTGAACTGTAACCAGTATCTGTATATTTTTACCTTCTATCCTGAAAATGGAGGATTGAACCGCAGCGCAAGAAGGATGAGCAGGGCTGAAGGATGAGGAGGGAAGGGGTTTTCTGGTGTTAAGGCAGAAGATTGGCACGCAGGAGGCTTGGACTCCTGTTGTTGCCTCTGCCACAGCCTTCCCTCTGTGACCTTGGGCAAGTCGCTTCACCTCTACCTCGGTTTCCCCGTCTGTAGAGTGGGGGTAGTAATGCTGCTGGGGGAGAGGAGAGAGTGCAAGGCTGATATTTATCGTGTCTGTGCTATGCAGCCCTGCCTGGGAGATGCTGCAGAGTGATGCATTGTTACCGTTGCTGAGAGGCTCTTGCATTTCTCCCTAGTAAGAGGCAATACTTGTAACTGCGGAATCTGCCCTGTTCTCAGGATTGGGGTAAAAACCAACCGACTGAACTCCCTTCTTTGATAAGCTGTGTGACAAGTTTGAATGCCACTGTGAGCAAAAGGACCTGCCGTGTTTTCAAAGGAAGATGGTTGCAACCTCAGGAGGTCAGACGGGGGGATAGAGGTTTTACCATTGACTGTGACATGGTGCATCAAGCACAGTGTCACCTCCTCTCATCTGAGAGACCTGCCCAAGCAGGAGACTCAGGTTAGGCACTAGAGACAACGGGAGGGGGTCTGAATAAAAATAACCCAGGGGAGAGGTAGTCAACAAGCAAGTGTAGCAGGACTCTCGTCTCTCCATTCAACCTCCCTCCTGCACTGGCGTCAGGGCAGTTTCAGAGCAGTTGCATGAGGTGGCCTTTCCACTTGCACAGTAGCGTGGCCTTTAGTGCAGGGCATCTGGCTTCAGTCTCTGTGCCGAGCCGCTGAAGGGTAGCTGGAGGTCCTGCTAAGGGCGTGCGTTGAATTCCTCACTCATCTGTGCCAATAACTAAAGTTTGGACCTGGGAATTTGCTGGCAAAGGTGGGATCAAACCTGCAGCTCCTAATGTGATGCAGGGTACCTGGATGTTCCTTTCCCTGTCGGGGCTAACGTGGCCATAATGCCAACCCCATTCCCTGGGAGTGATGAAGATAAATGCAGGTTCGTCGTATGTTCTGCAGGTAGCAAGCAGTAACATTAGCTGGGAGGTGGAAGATTTTCCTTGCTTAGCAACAAAATGGAGCCAGTCTTAAGACTCTTCAAGCCACGGGCCGTGGAGGCTTTGTGAACAGCCAGCTGAATTGGAGTGCTTTAAAAAGGGCATCCCTACCTGACATCCCCCGAGCCCTCTTCAGTCTGTCCCTATAATTTGAGATGAGGTAGAGCAGGAAGTTTCCTACTGGGAACTGTCTTCCTTGACTCAGGTCCTTTTCCCACGGGCAGTCCAGGTGTTTGGGGTTTTACAGTCTTTTCACTTACTTTCTTTGTTTTCTTTGCAGAAGGTACACCGATCCGAGGTAAGACACCCCCAGCTCACTCACTCACCCACTCTCCAAACACTTCTCTCCACTCAGTTCCTGTTTCATTGACCTGTGCTCAGTACAGATTCTTGTTGATGTTGTTATGTTTTCTTGTCCTGCTTCACCTCTGAATATTTCTTTTTTATACCTGTCTTTATTTTATATATGGTTATAATGTCCTTTTTTGTTTGCTGGGTGCACTTGGTAATACTGATACTGTTCTTCTAATAACGTCTCAGGCTGTGCTGCCTCAGATTTATGACACAGAGTTTTAAGAGCTAATCTCTCCAGGACTGTGAAGGACTGAAGTTTATCTTGAGCAGTAAATGCAATCAAAGCTTTTGGTAAATACTTAGGACCTTCTCTTGTTTGGTGCAAAGTGCTCTCAATCCACTGATGGTGGTGAAAATTTTCCAGTCCTTTGCCCCGTCAGATCTTCAGCACGTACCATCTCAGCATACTTATTTATTTGGCTTCAGAGCTGCCTTTCCTCTTCCTCCCCACTCTCCTACCCTTAGGTTTCTCTGGGAAAGATACCCGTGGTAAGTAGCTTCTGCACCGTTTCTTTAATGGAGCCAAAAAAGGTAGCAGACCTCAAGCTGTCACGGAAAGTCAGCTGGAATTGGGTGTGCACCCCCTGGCAGACCCTGCTTTGGTTTTATCTACGCTGGCAAATTTAGAAGTCCATAATTCCTTGCTGGTAAAAGCAACAGGAGGTGCTGTAGGTGAGATTTACTGTTTCACGCATCGTCTCATTGGCTCCTGACAAGTGCTGAAGCCTCACTGACCTCCCTGCAGTATGATTTCCCCCACTGCATTCACCAGCAAGGCTGCAGTGCCGGGATGAACGGGGAGAGTCCCGATTCCCGCGGCGAGGCTGCCGGCCTGCAGCGCGTGGTTCTGGTCCTGCTCTGCAGCGTGGCGTCTCCCCTTGCGTACACTCAGACGAGCGGAGCTCGTGAGCCACACAAAACGTTTTCCTGGAACCCGTGGAAGCAACCCACTTAATTTAACAGAAATTTCTGGGAAAACTCACAGGCCAGCTCTCCCTAAAGCGGAGCTTTCCGATGGCAGAGCATGCTCAAGCTGTAATTCAGTACGAAATACGCTCAGCTGACGTCTCGGTGTGAAGCCTCAGTCTGTTTTGGTTTCTAACTCCTATTCTGAAATACCCACGGATTCTTTTCAAATGAATTTCGTTTGGTTTAGTGGCTTGGGTGGGGTTGTTTTTGTTTTTTAATTCGCTCTGTTCTGCCTTTGGGAGCTACCAGGCACAGTGGATGCTGGCGGGAGTCGCGCTATCGCACCCCATCCCTGTCACAAACACTCTCACAGCCTCACGTCTTCCCACGCGCCGTCCTTGCTCACCCAGGCACACACAGAGGAACGTGAGCTCCGCGTCCTCCTCATGCCAACACGATGGTTCCTCCTTCCTGAAGAGGCTGTGTCTGCAACCAACAATGATACCATTTGCGCTTTTCTCGCTTAAGATTTTATCAGTAATATTACGCGGAGCTGGAATTGTTTGGTTTTCATATTTAGGTTTTTTTCCCAGAGACGGGAGTTAAGAGTCTTAACCACATGTGAGCTCTGTCCGTATCTGTAGTACAATCATGTACTCCTAATACATAAAACATTTGATAGCCTGTTGAATTATTGATGTAGTATGTATTTTAACGGGAGTTTTGCAGGGATGAAGCCTTCTGAGGTAAATGAGGCAATTTTCTTCCATGTAGTTACATGCTGCATATCTCTGCATGTTTGCTTACAGGAGTGTTTAGTATGGGCTCTGGGTATATTCTTTCAGGCTGCAATAATGTACAGGTTTAAGAAAAACCTTAATCCTTTTGGCCCACTCGGTGTAAACCACACAGGCAATTTTGAAGTTCCAATGCAGTATTTACAGGGTTTTTCCCTTGGGAATAGTCACTGTTGGTAAGGTGCTTTTCACACTGACTCTTATCTCCTGTAAGCTTCCTGTGAATCAGGTATTTAAGCACAAAACAAAGGCAGTGGTGCTAAAAATGCTCCAGGGATCCTAGGCAGTGAGTGACAAAGCCTTTTGGTGTTACGGTCACCGCTTCAAATCGAGCGTGGAAAGTCAACTGCCTTCCGATGGAATTCTGGGGATCACAGTAATATGGATTATTGAAGTTGATTTCCTGAGTTCTGGTGCAGGATGCCTGCATTGCAGGAGCCACGAAGTTGGGACTTTTGCTGATCATTTCAGCGTGGAGACTACCACTTCGTACGGGGTGCGGGGGGGTGTTACATTTTCTCTTCCCCTTGGGTATGTTAACGCTGGGCACAGACATCAGCGGATGGCGGCAGAGGGCTCGGTGCTTCCCGAGCTCGTAGCCCAAGACCCCCGAGCAATGTCCCAGCGTGTGTTAGCCCCAGGGGAGGAAAAAGCAAAACATTGCTGCTATTGCTGTCTCTTAAAAACAAGGCAGAATGGTGATGATGGTGTCTTTGCTGCGGTCTTCTTCTCTCCTCCCAGGTGGCCTGCAGATCGAAAGCAGCGAGGAGACGGACCAGGGGAAGTATGAATGCGTCGCCAGCAACAGCGCCGGGGTGCGCTACTCCTCCCCTGCTAACCTTTACGTGAGAGGTAGGGAGCGCATCAGCTCACAACCCTGGCAAATACCCCCCTCCCCATGGCCTTCCTTTGCCCCCAGCCGTTCGATCCGATCCTGTCCGAGTGCAGGGGACGCACTGCTGTTAACCGGCTGGATCCTTACAGTGCGCTGCTGAGCTTGCGAGGGGATCCCGGTGCACCCTGACTTCCTCACCGTTGCCGGTGGCTCCAGCTACCGCCCCAGAGATGCAGAGCAGCAGCACAAGGCTGTGTCACCCACAGCGAAGTCGAGTATGACCCAAAATAGTGTGACCAAGAGTCTGCCAGCATCAGCCTGCAGAGCCCAGAGGGGAATGGACAGCTTTGGCTGCAAAGAGGCCATAATCCCCTTTTCTCCCAAAGTATCCCTGTTCTCTGGAAGTGAGTTTCAGTTCTACTGGTGTGGGTGTGAGAGGAGGGGAGGACCCTCTCAGCCCCCTCCACTGAGCTCCCTGGCCCCTGGATCTTACCAGATTGCAAGAAGAGGGTGCATTCTCACTTCTCGCCTAAGCCCCAGCTGGTTTTCCCTTTGCCAGCCGTAATTTGTCACTGGCTCCTTGGGCAGGAACGCTGGCCGTGGGCACAGGCTCACAGAAAGCTGGAGACGGCCAGCAGACATCGCCGCCGCGGTGACAGATTCCTTCACCTGTGTAGCGTGGGGAACAGATGACAGGGGGATTGGCTTCTGCTTGGTGCCCCCTCGATGTTCACACACCCAGGGGGGCAACAGCCTTTCTGCTTGCTTTGTTATTTTAATCTTTCTGACCTGTGCTATTTTGTGTGTAGCTTTGGTTTAACATCTTTCCACAGCAAAACCCTTTTGGTAATGAGAGAGCAGGGCTGGTCCTTCTCGCTTTTTTTAAAAAAAAACAAACCAACAAAAAAAAGAAAAATACCATTGGGAGGAAAAAAGAAAAGTTACATCCCAGCAAACTGTTCCCATTGCCATCCCATCGACAGAGGAAGCGCCTCCCACCTACACTCACGTTAACTCCGCAGAGCCATGCTCCTGTGTGCACTCCTTTCTCTCTCTCTTTCTCTCTCTCTCGTGTCTCACGCTCACTAAATCACATGCACATGGAGAGAAGGCTTTTAATAATTTAATGTTTCCAAGCTAAATTTTTAAATAGCCTTTTGTGGCCAGCTGGAAAATTGCGTTTGAAATTTGCCCTGTCGCCTGGGCCCCGAAATTCTTCTTTTGGGAATGTAAATCTGGATCTGCTACTAATTCCGGGTTAAATCCTTCGCAGACAGCTTAGCTGGAATGTTTTGCCTTATTCTTTTTTAAAAAAAAAAAAAGAAACAGGAAAAAATGTGGGGATTTTTCATTATTCTTTTGTTTATAAATTTCCTCTACCTTTCTGGCCACTCGGAAACTACCCAGGAGACAAAGGTGGTAACCGTGGAGTCGCTTGTCTCCACACCTGGATAAGTGTCGGCTCCAGGTGGATAGCCCTCTTTCTGTCCAAGCTGGCCTGTGCGTAGCCGAGGCCTGCCTGGAAAACAAAGCCGGCCGAGAGAGTGCAGAAAACACTGTGTAAGCCAGTTCAGCCTGTGGTTTGGGTGTTTTTCATGCTGTTTAATTCCATGTTTCTTGTGTGTTAATATCGTGGAAAGGTAACAGATTTCTGAAATGGATTTGCTTTGGTGGGAGGGAAAGTTCATGCGCATTTTTCTTCCCGTTTTTTGTTTCGAAAGAGTCTCGAACACTCCCGTGTTTCCAATTGACTTGTTTCTCCCATAACATGCTTGTCTCTATAGAACACCTGGGATAGGAGTTGTAAGTTTGAACATTGCAAGGAAATGTTTTGGTTTTGGTTTGCTTTTCTTTTCTTCTAATTATTTCTTTTTCCTTATTCAGTCCCATTGTGGAGTTAGCGCAAGCAGGGCCGGGTGTGGGGGCTGGGGGGAGCATGGGCGGGGGGAGCGGATTTCCAGCGTGGGATCTCCTTTGTATCGGCCTTCTCTGCCTGCTGCGGGTTCCGCTCCCCCTTCTCGGAAGCGCAGGTGGACTTACGGAAGTGAGAACTCCTTGCTGGGGTTGGCACCTCTGCCGGGTGCTGACTGCGCGCGAGGATTGCTCACGGTCTGACCGCTGTACCGAGCCTGTTGTTCTGAAACCAGAGGGACCCAGCTGGATGGGAGGGGGAAAGTTAGGAAGGCAGGAAGGAGGGTCGTTACTATCTTCATTTTTTTTCCTTTCTTTTGATTTTGGTTAAGAGAAAGAAAACAATCAATTTGCAGCTGACAGCCTTGAGAAGGCCTTTTTTTACTCTCTCTGTGTTTCCCCTATTTTTCTCTTCTCCTCATGTCATTGTGTTCCGCATCAAACCCCCTTAACATCCCTCAGAGCTACGAGAAGGTTGGTGTGGTTTTTTTCTTTTTTACTTTCTTTACCCACATTTTTACATTCTTAAGAGAAAAAAAAAATAAAATTAAGAAAAAAAAAAAGAAAAAGCAAGAAATCTTTAAGATGAGCGAGACCCGCCCGTTCCCGGGTCTCGCCGAGATGAGTTGAGTTGCATTGTGGGCCTCTCTATGCATCCTTTGGTAATGTTGCTGAGTTCTTGCACTTCTTTGTCGTCATGGTTACCTTGCCGTTTGGACATTGGGCCTGATGCATGATAGGAGAATGTAACAATCTTCTTTGCATGCCACTTTTTAAATTAATTATGAATTATTTTCTCTCTATAAATATGTATAGTTTGGTTTCTTTTACAATTCTGGTTTATTTGAAGTGGATTTACTCTTCCGTTCTAAATTTTTTGTTTCGTTGGGTTTTTTGCTTTCTCTTGATTTCCTATTTCAGTTTTGATTGGTTATGCTGTGCTGTAGTTTATTCCAAACGCATTGTGAGAAGCCAGTGTTCCTGCCCACCCGGTGGTAACTGAACTCCTCAATCCCTCCAGGAGGAAAGGAGTCACACAGCTCTAACGCCTGTCCATGGAAGCCCTGCTGTTGGGGACCAGCCTTTGTTCTGGGGGGAGGGAGGGATCTGGGAAGTGGAAAAGATGGTAAGAAGCCAGGGTGTCATTCCAAGAGTTAGAGCAGACCCTGGGTCACGTTATTACTTACCTGTTTCTTGGAGGTGTGGCTCTTGTTCCACATCCTGCACACAAAGCAAATCCCTGATCCCTGCTCCGAAGGGCTTCCCCAGTGATGCAGGACTCGCTCCCTGCTAACCCTTTCCCTCCAGCAGTCCCTAAGACCCTGCGCATGGGAGCTGATCTGCTGCCAGCCCGGCGTGGGCAGAGGCAGAAAGCTGCCTGCCGTGTCACTGAACCCCACGCAGCTTCCTCTAACCCCCGTGGGCGTGGAGAGCCCCAGCAGCGGGCACTGCGCTGGGCAGATGCCCTTGTAGGAGGGTGATGCCCCGTCCGTGCAGTGTCCGGCATGAAGGGCAGCCAGCCACCTCCTGCAGAAGGGGACCTGGGTCTCATGGCTCTGCCCCTCCCCATTTATCCTCTTTCTTCCCTGTCCTTGAACCATTATTGTCTGGCTGCAGGCACCCTGAAAACCAGCCAGGTCCAGAGATGGAAAGCCCTCCTTTCTGGAGGAGTGTGGAAAGAGAAATCCAGCAGTGGTAGACACGAAAAGAGGCTGCTGGGACACATCTGGCAGCTGCATCTCTATTGTAAACAGCAGCGAGAAATCTGACAAGTTACATTCTAGCTGAAAATGCCTCTTTTCCCTCTTCTCATCTCCCTGTTTATCCCCATTAAGCCTCTGTTGCCTCCCATGTGTGCATCCTGAGAGGGCGAGCCACATGGGATAGTGAACAGGTGGGGGTTTGCAGTGTGGTAGTTGTACCATTGGTGCTTGGTGCTGTTGCCCTTTGCAGAATTGAATGCCCTTCCTTTCCCTGTTTATGCATTTCCCTCTGCCCATCAGTCCTCACTACTCGATAATCTACCAAAGGAGTGGCTTTCCTAGTGTACAGGTATTAAAGCTGTGTGATTTTTGAGAAATCCAGTGCAGTATTGACACAGTATCTGTCTCTCTCTTTCTCTATCTCTCTCTTTCTCTCTGTCTGTCCTTCTCTTTTTCTTAAATTGCTGAGATTTCAGTGCTCGGACCCTCAGTGCTGGTATTCTCCCCTCCCCTTTCAAGTCTCTCCCCCTCTCCCCTTAGATACAAGAGTACCACTCCGAAATGCTGCACTGTTGATAATATCTTTCTGAAGCGGCCAGCTGTGGCTCTTCTGACTCTGACGCCCACAATAGCCAAAAGACATCCCCCAGCCCCAGTGCTCTATTTAAAGAAAAAGAAAAAAAAAAGAAGAAAAAAAGCTGGTTCTATTTATAAAGAGCAAGAGAGGAGGAATAGTATCTGAAGTGAGGTGTTCCCATCCCACCTCTCTCCTGCCTCGGACTAAAAGGTGATAATCACTACTAATTACAGGATTTTCCTTCATGAATAGGAGTTTGAATTTCAGGGCTTAGGTGCAATTAAAAAGGGATTTATACACCATTGTTTTTTATTTCTTTATTTTATCTTTTATAAAGTATTTCTAACATGTCCAAACCGCACTGCTGCTGCTAGAATCTCTTGTGATCTGAGAAGGTTTTGAGATTAAATTCTTCCATAAGAGCCAGTAAAAATAATAATAATATCAACAGCATAAACAGCTAAAGCTAAATTGGATGTAGTCACAAGAGGCTGGAATGACACTGGGCGAGGAAACAGGGACTTGATACCTGACTAGAAGAGCTTATATGGTTTGCTAGAAATAGTGGGCATGGTCTTGAAATTACTGGTTAAGGGTTTGCCTTGTGTGTTATTACAGATCAGATCATGCCGTGGCACAAAATAACAAAGAGTCTGCTCTAACAGGGAATTTCCAGTATCAGATGCAGAAGTATCTTTCTGGAGACGTGCAGAAGCAGATGAGAAGTAGGTGAGGTGAGTTGTGCCACCAGCCTAGGGTGTAGAAAGTTTCCAGGCTGAGCTAGCTGTCCAGATTTCACCCGTGGTCAGTGAAGGGAAAGACACAG